TTTAAAACATTTGGGTGCTAACCAAAAGTTTGGTAGTTTGAACTCATCAGCTGCTTTGCAGGAGAAAGATGAAGCAGTCTGCTTCTGTAAAGATTTACACCCTTAGAAACACTATGAAGCAATTCTAATCTGTCCTACAAGGTCACCATGAATTGAAATCTACTCAATGGCAGTGAGTTTTGGTTTATTTTATTCTCTTAGGAGCTATTTTAAATTGAATCATTTCCCTAATTTCTCTTTTAGACTTTTCATTGTTGGTGTATAGAAACCCAACTGATTTATGTGTTGATCTTATACCCTAAAACTTTGCTAAATTCTTCTATTATCTCCGTAAGTTTTCTTGCAGACCCTTTGGAATTTTTTTTTAATATGTTGAATCATATCATCTTGGAATAGAAATAATTTTAGTTCTTCTTTTCCAATCTACATATGTTTTATTTTCTTTTCTTTCTTGTCTTATTACTTTATCTAGGATGTCTAGTATAATGTTACATAGAAGTGTTGAGAACAGGCACCCTTGTCTTGTTTCTTATTTCAGGGGGAAAGCTCTGTCTTTCTCCATTAAGTACAATGTTGGTTATTGGCTTTTAATATATGCCCTGAGTCACACTGAGGAATTTCCCTTCTACTCCAATCTTCTTTATGGTTTTCATCAAGAAAAATGTGTTGGATTTTATCAAATGTTTTTTCTATAACCATAGAGATGGTCATATGGTTCTTTTCCTTTGTTCTGTTGATGTGGTACATTACGTTGATTGATTTTCCGGTGTTGAACCATATCTGTATTCCTGGAATAAATCCCAGTTGGTCAGGGTATATGATTCTTTTTGTAAGCTGTTGGGTTCTGTTCACTATTATTTTGTTGAGTTTATCTATATTCATAAAGAATATTGGGCTATAGTTTACTTTTCTCATGTTGTTGTCTGATTTTGGTATGTTTGCTTCATAGGATAAAATCAGAAGCATTTCTTCCTTCTACATCTTTTGAAAATGTTTAAACAGAATTGGTGTCAATTATCCTCTAAATGTTTGGTAGAATTCCCCAGTAAAGCTTCTGGTCCAGGACTGAAAAGTCATATTCTTAATGACATAAAACAAAGAAGTAATTGTGTTAACATTTGTGGTTAATACAGTTACTGTATTTAATTGTTTAATTTGTGTGCTTCCTTCCAGCTCAGGTAAAAAGAGTAATATATAATGTTCTAATTCATAAGACTGTGTAACAAATTACCACAAAATTAATGGCTTAAAATAATCATTTACCTATCATGCTCATTTGTTCAGACAGAGTGTAGTGGGGATGACTTGACCCTGTTCCACAAGGTCTGAGGCCTCAGCAGAGAGACTCAATGACTTGGGTCAGGAACCATGTGAAGGTTCTTTCATTCATGTGTCTGGCTGGTGATAAACACAGACTGTTAGGTAAGGTCTTAGCTGGAACAGTTGTCTGTAACACCTACACACTTCTTGTGGCTTGGGTTTCCCAACCTCATGGTGGCCAGTTTCCAAAGTTATTTTCTCCAGAGAAAGCTAAGGAGTTAGGAGGAAGTTATACCTTTTTTAAGACCTGCCCACAGAAATCTCATAGTATCATTACAACCAAACTCTTCTTTGTATCACTCAAAACCTACCCAAATGCACATGAGGAGAAAATAGACTCCCCCACTTGATGGGGAGTGATTAGGTTCTACAGAGAGTGTGGGACCTGAATTATTGCCGTGGCCATCTTTGGAAAATACAATTTTTTCATATATGATGTATTGGTCTCATTACCAGAAATTAAGATGAAGTCCAACTCTTCAGTAAAGACCAATGTTTGATCACAAAAACCTAGTGGTTAAAATCATGGATTCTGGCCTAAGGTAGCCATTTGATATGTTCTTGATAATCTATGCATAAACATTACATAAAGCAATAGATCTGAATTTATTCATTGCACTATTACTTATTGATCTTGATCAAATGTCTTTTCTCTTTGAGTCTCAGGTTTCATTTCTATAAAAGGAGAAGAATTCTTATCTTACAATCTTGTTTAGGGGATTAAATTAAATAATATAACAAAATGTATTTCACAGTGTTTGGATCTTAGTAAGCATTCAATAATTTATTGTATTTTAATCTCCTATTATAACAGATTTCAGCAAGAGTACAAGA